ATACTGATATACACATGCACTAGAAGAGATTTTCATTCAAATTTTTTCTGAAAGTTTGCATTGTATTTGTTGTTTGCATTAGCTTGATAAACTACAACAGAAAATTGCCTTGTAAAAATAATTTTATTTCAAATTAGCATGATTTTTATTTTATTTTAATTTTTCTGAGTGTTTTAAAATGAATTATGAATATTCAAAGTTGATATAAGCATATTTTTTAAGCTGTTTCTTTTGTGCATTATATATATATATATATATATATATATATATATATATATAATTTTATATAGTTAATTCAGTCAAGTATTTTGTGGAGAAAAGCGAATTTGTAAACTGTGACTATTACTGCTGATAATACAAGACTCTCCAGCTGGATTGAGTTCTCTAGGTCACTGGCATGTTTATGAAAAAATAAATATGCAAAAATTCACCTTTCTCTCTGACTGATGCTAAATCAATCGGGTTTTGGCCCCGGCTTGAAACAAGTGGATGTCTAGTCACACTGATGAGCTATGATACAGTGAAACAGTCTCTGTGGATGATGATATATATATGAACTGAAAATATTAAATTAGATTATTTTCTTTATAACTTTTATGTTTGTAGTGATATGTAAATAACTGCCTAATTAGCATAGCCAAGACATAGAGACACTATAAGTGCCCAAGAAGTAAGGGGTGGGGCAGAATATAGTACACAAGATTAATGACTACTGCTGGAAGGAAATCGCACTTCATAACAATGATATTCAAATATTTTGTTCTTTAAATATTCATTTTTTTTTTAAATACATTTTCATTATCTAAATGTATTAGTTTAAAAATATAATTTAAGCAGAAACCCTTCATTTAGACATGTTTTCTTTAATAAAATGGACTGGGAATGTTTTTAATGATACAAGCTATTTGCCAGGAACTGATTTTAACACCAGTAGAAACTCTCCAAAAGATACTCCCTGTCTGTTCTATATAATAATAGAATATATATAACATGTATATACACTTAATTATTTATTTTCAGAAATACAGGTACAGCAATTTCATTTTCAATTTATCCTTAAATCTTTTAATTAATTTTACCTGTCTCCTCTCCAAGCAACACGCTGTATAAAAACATTTAACAGAAATCCATGGCGTCTGCTAATTACCATCAGATAATGGTCAACAATACAACCATACTTTACCAATCCAACTGCAAAAAAAAAAAAAAAATTACAAATTTTGGAGGCTCTTTACATCATAAGACAGTCACTGTCAATAAAATTTGTTTTAACAATAGTATGCACATGTTAAAATACCTTCAAACTGTTAGATTCATTTCAGTCATTTGACACTAAAATCTATTTTAACAGTCATAGCATGTAAATCCACATTCATTTCAAACTCCTGACCTACATAGCAACATAAACACTCCACTGACTCTCTCAATTTCTACCTTCTCTCTTTGAAAATGAGCAACAATGGTTGAAAGTACTTGGAACATTACACACAATTTTGGCAAGTAACTTTACATGTTTTCTCCCAACATCAATTTACTTGTTTTGACACCAAGAGAAACTCACCAATTTTTAGCCCATTCTATTTAATAAAACATGTATAAACAAAGGATTGCTGCCTGAATATACTTTGTTTAAAATATATAACAATAATGTGATACAGCATATTGGACCACATTGTAAAAATTAAGATATATTCTTATATTTTTATCTTAAATCATCAGTTACTATTTACAATAATTATTAAAATGATCAAGTTATTTCTTTTTCTTAATTATTTAGTATTGTTTACTTATACAATACTTAGAAATTTACAATAATGTTATAATTTTATATATATATTTAATAGGCTGGTTAACAATTAACAAAATTTGAAGAATAAAAAGCCAACAAAATGATACCAATATTGTTAATAAAATTGATATTTATTATATATTCACTAAAATTAAATCTTGTGATGCTTATAGCAAAACTCTAGCATGTTAAGACATTTCAAATTTGAAAATTAGAAATCGCATTCATTATAAAAGAGTATAAATACAAGATCTATTAATAAGTTCTGGCCCTGATGAGCATTTCCACTCAAAACTCATGAGTTGGCGAAGCAAATAAGTCACTCAAGGAAATTCCAAGTATCTTGTTATAAAAATTAATTTAAGTCTTACTAATACACTAACTTATTACTCTTTTAACTGGAACCAATGAAATCCTATAAACAACAACTGATTTAAGGAAGTTCTACAGTTATAAAAATTTAAACTTCCGAAGGCAATCCTGTGGAATAATGTATTATTCCATCTACAACATTTATGTGGGGCCAAGTGAAGTTTCCTCCCTTTCCTCCACACTTTCGCATGTCTTGTGGCGCCGTTTGACACCCCTTCCTGTCTGTTTCAGTCAAATACAGTAGTAAACTGGTTTTTTCGTCAGTCAAGCGACCTGCTATTCCTTCTTATGCAAATTAGATTTTTGAAATCTTCCCGCGAAATTTCTGTGACGTCACGGACAAACTAGTGTTTCAAAAGTTAGTTGTGATCCAGACTCGGACCTAAGCAGAGACTCATTTATCCCTGTCGTTATTTAAGGTTAAGAGACGAGGGATATCTTACGATGTTATCACCAAATATTAATTCTTCATCCCTTTTGGCTCGTCGCACAAAAATCCTTCTTCGAGGCGATGCAAACACCAAATATTAATTCTTCGCCCTTCTGGACTCGCCATAATTAACTTCTCATAGACGATGCGACTGACCACAACTAGCTCTTCGTCCTTTTGGCTAGACGTCCACAGAAATTTCGCGGGAAGATTTCAAAAATCTAATTTGCATAAGAAGGAATAGCAGGTCGCTTGACTGACGACAAAACCAGTTTACTACTGTATTTGACTGAAACAGACAGGAAGGGGTGTCAAACGCGCGCGCAAACACGCGAGTGTGGAGGAAAGGGAGGAAACTCGCGCGCGCGTAAAATGTTGTAGATGGAATAATACATTATTCCACACAATTACGTTGGCAAAGTTGCCAATCTTATTGCGTGTTCAATTCACGTCTCGGGTCACCAAACTTGTTGCAGGCCACTTCGTAATAAACCAGCACTGCACCCTACCGGGCCTGCAACAATCCCAATGTTTTTTATTTTTTGCTATTGTGTGTCTGAGTGTGTGTATGTATGATTATATTTATATAACATTATTTCATTCTACTGTCTATATGTATAGTTAATTTTGCATGCATTTGCCAAATTTTGCTTTTATATTTATTTATATCTTGTGCAATGTGTGTGGCTATTTTGAAATATGTTATAAATATGTTCTGTGTTGGTAAACATGTTTGGTGGATCTATGTTTGTTGCTATGGCAACAGAGTATGAATGAAACGATGTCATTGTGAAATATCAATAATACTGTTAAAATATGCTTTTGTTATGAAGATCTTTTTTGAATTTTATTCCTTTTCTGTTTTTCATTTCTACGTCTGAAAATATAACGCTCAGTATCAATCAATCAATCAGTCAAAGGATTATTATCATATCTTACTGTCAAAATCTATTCAGAACCAGGAGCTAATAAATTATGCCAGCAAATTTTCTTGTTTATTGCCTTCTTCATTTTACCATTTTTAATAATATTAAAAGCATTCTCCTGAGCAGCTTTTTGTTGGAAACTTTCTATTTTAAGCAGACCTAATTTTGGTATTTAAAAAGAAAAAAAAACAATAAAACAATTACATAGATATGTAATTTCTTTTTAATGTATACTTTAATTATATATTTTCATATTTCTTTTCTGATGGAGATTTCAATCATTAAAATCTTATAGACATAATTTTAAAAATTAAAATCTAAATAGACATCATTTTAAAATTTCTTGGAATAGTGGTAATTTTATCTTAAAATTATTTTTTAATCTTTTTCTTTTCTGTTCATGTGTTAATGTTTCCATAAACTACTGTATATTTCCATGTATAACACAACCTTTAAATCACAAAAATCACCCTTAAAATTTTGGGGTCGTCTCATACTACAATTCTAAAAAAGAAACCTTAAATTCTGAGTGGTGTTTGTCAGTAGGCTAACCTCGGCCTCAGTGAGATAACCAATAATGTACATGAAAAGATTCGCATTATCAAATAAACAGAAAATATAAGTAATAAAACCAATCTACCCTATATATCATTGGCATAGCTTCATAATAAATTGCCTATTTGAAGAATAATTCCATGTCAATGAAATCAACTTGTATCCATACAAGTTAAGCTGAGAAAATGTAAGCATCAAGTTATGATTGCATTCACAGCAATGGAATGTACTATTATCGTAATACTATATTATATTAATATTATATGTAGTATTTTGTTTTTGTCAATGAAGTATAAGTAAATGGCCATTAGTACACTAGGTGGTTTGTGTAATATAGGAAAAGAATCAGTATTTGTAAGAGATCACATAATGAAACATATGCAAAACAATGATTTCCCTTTTAGGGGACATGTGTAAGAAAAACATGATATAGAATCAGTTTTGTTATTTTGTTTATTTTGAATTTCTACAGATACATTAAGTGACAACATTTCCAATAATATCATCTTTATATAATCAATAAGCTGTCATTTTATACTACAGGTATAGGATAAATTCATGAAAATTTGCTATGTTTTTTTAGCTTGTCTTAGCTAAAGGTCACCTTATATGTGGAAATATACAGTAATCACTTAGTTTCATTGATTTTCATTTATAAACTTGAAACAAACTTTTTTATTTCAAAGAAAATAAATATCTTGAGAGTAAAGTTAGAATTACTAATTCATCTGTTAACATTAGATGCATAAACTCATATATTAAAAATAAAAAAAGAAAAATGTTTATATTGCATCCTTGTATGATGATTTGGTTTTGTACTATAGATACGCGGACTGCTGGCTCCAATGATTCTACAGAACTTCAGGGTAAAGACTTTTTCATTAAAAAAGAAAAGAAACTGGTTGACCAGTATATCATAAAATCAGGCATGTTGAGATTCTCCTTTTTGTTGGAGTGTTGCACTCCAGGTTCTTTACCAGATCCTCAGTTAGTAGCAGCTATGTTAGTACTTGTAAGTACATATAACACTTTTATATTATTTATTTTTATGACTCTCTCACTAAATAACATTGTACAGTACTTGTATATAAAAATGTATTTGGATTGATCAATTTTTCCAAAATCTTTTGCTTTTGCAGATTAAGTGGTACTTTAATTTTTAGGGATTTGAAACTTTTTTTCCATAATTTTCACCCATTAAAAACACTTGAAATTCAGAATTTTAATTCTAAGGTTCTATTCAGAATCAGATGTGTTTGTAAAGTGCCTAGTTTAATTTATAAGAGTATAAACTTTTAGATAGTGACTTTTTAAACTAGTTTGTAAGAGAATAATCTTTTAGATGGTAACTTTTTTAGATGATAACTTGTAAAAGAATAATCTTAGACAGTAACTTTTTTAAACAGTAATTTGTCAGAGAATAATCTTGTAGATGGTAACTTTTTCCTAATCCTCAAACACTGTTTACATTTTCACTTTTTAACTGAAAAATGCATGAAAAGTTTTACTTTTACATTTTATAGTAACATTTAGTACACTACTAATGAAAAACAAAAATCGAACACTTGCAAAAGTTTTGATCCTTCGTTTCCTTGCAAAACATCATTTTAGAACTTGTTTTTTATTTTATTTCATTTTTACTCTAAACAGATCGTTTTTTTCTCTTTTATCTTTAATTTTTCATTTGCTAACTTTTAAAATTTGTTATAGTTTAATTCTCTTATTAAGACATCAGTTTTAGGGTGTTTACTTTTGGGAGTTCAGAGAATTCATTCTTGATTTTTTTTACCTACAAAATTCTTCAAATACCTTAATTCTCTGTATTTAAACAAGAAGTGAAAAAAAAAAAAAAATTAATTTCTTCTAATATGCATGTTAAAATGCTTGATTTTTGGATACATCAGTAATTTCACAAACTGATGATGAAAAAAATATTTCTTTTCATCAACAAATATGTAAATTTTTCCTCAACAAATACTTAATTTTCAACGTAATTTCCTTCATTGTTAATGCACTTAATTCAATGGTGAATATTAATCTCATGGATTATACACTGAAAATTAATATCATCATAATATTTTTTGTTTTATTCTAGCTTTTGAAGAAATCCAAACTTTTTTCTTTTTGTCAAATTTTGTTTAACATTTAAAATGTGTTGCAATTTAACAAGAGAAACAAATTGTAATACATTTTCAATGTTAACAAATGTTTGACAATGAAGCAAGGGAATGATTAGTTTTGACTTTTTCAAATGCTAAAAACAACACAAAGCAGTTAATTTTCCAAAGAGTTGAGTTTTAGGCTATTCCTGTTAGAAGTTTAGAAATGTAATTTCTAATAGTTTTACCTACAAAATTCTTCAAATACCTTTATTCTCAGTATTTAAACAAGAAGTAAAAAACAACAAAGAAAAAAAAAAATTCCGTTTCTTCTTACTATTCTACATATTAACATGCATGACTTTTTTTTTCTTTGAGGTAATTAAGTAGTGCAAGATTCAATCTATTTTAAGCTTTGGTGACCCTCACTAAAGAAAGTAGGCAGGGAAAGGATCTCATTTTAAGAAAGCCAGATTCAGAAACATCAAGCTGGGGAAAAAGAACTGGATATTCCATTGTTGGCAATGTTTAACCTTTGTGCCCACAAAAAAAACAGTGTTTCAAAAGGGTGGTTATTCCCTTGACTCCACAATTATTGTATACACTTTTGACTCCTTCTTTATTATTTTAAAAAGCAATGATTAGACTGTCCTGGATATGACAATAAACTACATCCAATAGCAAAGCCTCTGATCAGATTTTGAGGAGTGTGGAACCACCTCTTAATTTCTGGTGTTCCCAGGCCCACTCTGACCTGGGATGGTAGGGTTAGGGTCCCACTTATGGGCAAATAGTTAAACCACAAACTGGGGTCAAAACACTATGAAAGTGTAAAAATATGTTTTAATACCAGAAATACTTTGTAAAAAAATTATTACCAGCAATAAATTTTTGAAGAAAAAAATTATTACCAGCAATACATTTTGAAAAAAAAAAAAAAAATTATCAGCTATACATTTTTGAAAAAAATATTATCATTGATACATTTTTGAAGAAAAATATTACCAGCAATAGATTTTGAAGAAAAAAATATTACCAGGAATAGATTTTTGAAAAAAAAAAATATTACCAGCAATAAAAATTTTGTTGGCATTAAATAACCCATTGAGGTTGATATGCCATAAAACAGAACAAACCAAAGCAATGATTAGAATTTTAATAAAACCAAAACACATGAAAGATGATTTATATCTTTCCTTTTTTCATGAGAAATGACAACAAAGATATTAAACATTATTTATTAGGTTGCTTATTTACAAGAATAATTTTTGGTGAGACAGAAAAGTACTAGAAAGAGGAAAAAAGTCAGTTATGTCCTGACCTCAAAAAGAAGAGGTATTGAGCAAAATTTCATGGGAAAAATTAGCTCAGGAGAGGTGTTGTAATGGGATGTCCCACACTTCCTATCACCTGTATGGACTGACTATATCAGTAGATATATATAGTAAGAACAGGATATACTTGGTGGACTTGCTTTGGGAATTACTAACTTGCCAACCGATTCCCTGTCTTTCAGTAGTGTATTCTCTTTTACGATAAACCTCTCTTTCTTTCATCTATGCCTATGTTGCTGTTCCTTTCACTTGAGTACCACCTTTGTCTGTTTGTAACCTTCTTTAAGGATACAACAATTTTATATTAACAAGATTATAAAAATATGTGAATCAACTATAATAAAATTATTATTTTACATTTTATAAAGAAATAAATATGAAGAGAATTTTTTTTTATTTATAAAAATGTTTGAACAAGAAAATTTAAATAAGCATATAATGAGTAACTATAATTATAAATTTTGAAAAAATGCATTTTTCAGGTATTTCCTTCATTTGCTCTTGCCACATAAATTCATTAAAATAAATTGAGAGAGCATCATTTTTCTCTTACATATTTCGATCATTTTGTAATTTTTATAAATTTTTAAACAAATCTATTTCTTTATTTACATTATTCGGACTATTGTCCTCATCTTTGTCGCCATATTTATCACAACGTTTCGGCCGTTGTACACTCCGGCCTTCTTCAGGTGGTTGGAATGTCAAACTGAACCCTTTATTTCAATCACTGGGGTAGACTGTTCTAGTTCCACGTGTATCCACTGTGCCATGTGTCCTTGAGGACACATGGCACAGTGGATAAAGGTGTTGGTTAGATCCAGTGACAGGACACAAAGAGTGTGAGTTCAATACCCGGTTAAGGCAGTGGAGAACTTTTAGAGGGAAATTAACAGGAGATAACTGATAACTGACATCCATCAAACGTGGCACATGGAACTAGAACAGTCTACCCCAGTGAGCGAAATAAAGGGTTCAGTTTGACATTCCAACCACCTGAAGAAGGCCAGAGTATAGAACGGACGAAACGTTGTGATAAATATATTGACAAAGATGACAATAGTCCGAATAATGTAAATAATGTATATAATACCTCATCTCAGAAATATAGACACAAATCTATTTCTTTAATAATGGATCTTTGTAAAAAGGTAAATAATAAATATCATATTTTGCTCAGTTCTTATATTTTTATAATCTTGCAAATAAATATTGCCAAGGGAAGATAAAGTGTATACATTAATAGTAGTGTCAAGGAAATAACCAACCTTTTAACATACGGATTTTTTAAAGCTGTGAATGTTAAACGTTATCCCATCAACTGCCACAGAACTATACACTGCAATGAAGAAAAAAGATTGTTGAAAAGAGAAGTTGAATCTGGAAGAAAATAAGGCACTCAGTTGAAGAAACAAGTGAAAAATGTCCAAAAAGTCATTTACTGACAGGAATTGCAGAATCATTTTTTTCGTTCAAGAATTTTATTCCCAATCCAGATAAAAGTATCTACATACAAATTATCAGAATATCTCTCAAAGAACTTGACACTTCCAGCAAAGTTTGGACAAGAAAGCCTCAGCAAAATCAAAACTTTTACAAGTGTTCAGTTTTATTTTTTTCTTTGATCATGAATACATACTGCATCTGTGATTTAATGCTCCATGTATTAGACTATCTTAAATAAACATTAATAAAAAGTTGTCTCTTGTATTCTAAAACTGTATTAATCTATTTGAAGGAAGCACCAATAGTGGCTCGAGCAGCATTGTTGTTGGAATGTGGACATTTCATCCATCGGTGTAATCGAGGCGATTGGCCAAATTGGATGAAATTGAATTTACCAACTTTTCGTCAGTCAACAGCTGCTTTACATAGCCGTGGGCAACCATCAGGTTACCGACGTAGCTTAATACTGCAAAGATCTGCTGGAAGAATGTTCTACCAATGGGCTGAGGTGAGTTAATTTCTATAGCCTCTTTTGTGAGATGTTTCTTCTCCTATGTGTCATGTCTCTTCAGGACATAGATGATCATCACTCTCCACACTTTCCTGTTCTTTGTAGCTTTTAATACATTTAATCTTTTTGTTATCTCTCCTAAACCTTGTTCCACAATCCATTCACTCAAGCTCACTAGGTAGGTTATGTGTTGCCTACCTCTGTCCCTCTTGCCTGCAATCCTGCAAGTATAAAATTTTCCAAGCCCCCCTTTATGCATTATATACCCAAGAAACTTCAACTATCTTTTCTTGATGTTAACTATAAATGTCCTTTTTGTTTCTAATTTCTTCAAACCTTCATCATTGCTCACATGTTGGGTCCATAAACTGTTATGTAATACCAGTCTTCCTATATGACAGTGAATGCTGGACAGTTTCCTTACAGATGAAGAATAGACTTGAAGCAAAAGAAATGTGGTTCTACAGAAGGATGCTGAGAATACCATGGACTGAATATGTGAGCAACAACAAAGTTCTAGCGGCAATGGCAACAAAAAGGACACTTCTTATTTAACATCATGAAGAGATAGTTGAAATTACTAGGGCACATAATGAGAGGAAAGAGGAAAATTTGATACTCACAAGACATATTGAAGGTAAGAGAGATAGGAAAATAACGCATGACCTACCTGCTCACCTTGAGTGAATGGATGGCAGAGCAGAGTTTGGGAGAGATGGCAAAAAAATAAAAGTTATTAAGAGCTACAAAGGATAGGAAGTTGTGGAGAGTCATTGAAGAAGATTCAGACTAGTATTTTTACATGTGTTGTTTGTATCACAAGTATTCTTTGTTTTATTTTATGTTTTTTAATGTATAGTTTATCTTTGGTGATTTTATATATTAGGTTGGTGCAAAAATATTGTCGTTTTTTTGCGTTAAGTTGAACGCGTCAAAAACGACAATATTTTTGCACCAACCTAATATATATTTTAAAAATATTTCTATGTCAGGGTGAAAGAGATTTGTGTATGCAAAAGGAATTCAATAAACAGTCTTTTTTTTTTTTTTTTTTTTTTTTTAATCATTTCACCCCAAGCAAGGCAGTAAAGCCATTAAGACACAAGAATTTACTGAGTGTGGAATAATAAGAAAAGGAGAAACAGAGTTCTACGAGCAAGAAGAAACTATTAGCATACAACTTACAATTACGTATATCCAATTCAACTTTAAATTGATGAGACTGTTGCCAATCTAGTACTGCACCTATATTGATAATATCTAGGTACCATAATGGAAAGTAATATTTATTTTGTTTTAATACAGAAATGTGACACAAGGCCAAAAGCGGGGATAGGGGAAGGCTGGTCTTCAATCTGTCTTATCTTAAATTTACCTATAATTACTGACCTAAACATACCACAATATTTCTTACACCAAAACAACACATTCTTAGAATCCTTACTACAGCCACCATAATACCTCAAAGTCTCTATGCAGTCCTAACTGGTTCCCAAATGTACAATTTGTCTGGCAGGGGTGGGAATAAAATAATATTTAAAAATGAAACCCCAATTAATATTTACAAAGAATACAATTTATATACAGGAAACTAAGCAAAATAGTGTTTGTAATAAAACCTCTCACAATTTTTATCTCAATGCTAGGCATACCCAGACCACCTTCAGAAGGGTGGAGGTAACAGATCTAATTAAACTCATTAGTGTGATACACGGGAGTGGAGGCATGGAAACATGGTAAAGGAGAATTGGGTAAATGTGTGAGGTACATACTTCCGCCCTCCCCTTTAAGGAAAGATTCCTCCGAGATCACAGATGAAATGTGATCTCAGCTTTCTCCCAAACTTTTGACCAATTCATTTCCAAGAGGAGATTGGGATCAAACCAGATGCTGGCCTGTCCGTCCAGAGGAAAGGCTCGGGAAGAGAAACTCTCTTCCACGTACCAAACTGCAAGCCAAGAGACTTATTGTGGTTGATCTTGGCTCCTATTACAGTCTCATACCCTCTGATCTCTTTGCCAACTTCGTCACTCTCGGCTTTGATTGACATAAGAAATGTCATTGGCATAGGCCTGGTCAAGGTGGTAGCACCAGGTAAGGAAATTCTGCGTAGAACTGTATTTGTCTTTAACTTAAGGAAAGATTCCAATGCAAGAACGTACAGCAAAGGCAAAAACAGACAACCTTGACAAATGGAGCAATACAACATGAAAGGTTCCAATTGTGCTCGGTTCACTTCCACCAGTGCATAAGTAGTTGCATACAGAAGTCAGATGCAAGTGTGAAAGTACTGCCTGAAACCATCAGCTGCAAGAACAACTGCAAAAAATTGATGGTCAACCCTATCAATGCTTTGGACTGATCTAAATTGATCAGTGCAGCTTCACTATCGACTTGCTCAATGATCAAGCGTACCGAAAAAAAGGTTGTCCTGAATAGTACTGCCCTTCACAACACAAGACTGTTTAGAGACAATCAGACAAGAGAGGACAGCCTGTAAATGGTTTGCTAAGATCTTGGTTAAAATCTTCAGTGCTGTATTAAACATCATCAAAAGCTGAAAGTTAGCTATCCCATCCCTGCTGTTTTTGTCCTTTCATAGTAAATTGATCACACCCTTGGTGAAGCATTGAGGTATAGACCTCTGTTTCATCAAGTTGTTGTAATTCAGTTCCAGCAGAGGAAAAAGAATGGGCGACTGCCTCAAGTACATTTTGTAAGGAAGACTATCTAATCCTGGAGTTTTGTCCCAACCAACCAGCTTCAGAACTTCCCAGATTTCTGACTCTGTGATGGGAACCTAGCACACAGCTGTTTCAGCCACCTCAAGGCAATGAAAGTCAGCCAAATAGGCGTCAAACTGAGCAGAGCTCAGATCAGGCGCCATGGTGAACAGGTCCTGAAAATAGTCATGAAAAGCCTCACATATGCCTGCATTTGCTGCCATAGTTCATTTATTCGGCAATGTGATGTACATGATATGTCTATTCAATGCATTTCTAACTTCCTCTGTACACAATTCAGTGGTCATATTCATCGCCATGGATGAAAATCTTTTTAACCTAGCCTTAATTACCACAGCTTGATCCTTCTTGTTAAGCAAGGAGACCAACTCTGCCCTAGCTAAGGCTAGTTCCCCACTATCACAGGTTTTAATCGCCCAATTGACTTTTTCCTCAGATGGCTGTTTGGAATGCTAATCTAACTAGTTGAGTCAATGACTATAATAAGCAGCAAAAAAACCTAATTTTTTATTTTAATTTATCCAACCATATATTGCCAACCACAGTCTCTGTCAATTCCTACTGTAGCATTAGTAGCAGCTGGTCTTGGAAATCTTGCTTGCTCACCAAACAATGATGCATTCAATTTCCAGTAGCCAGCCATCTTAATCTTAGTCTTATCTAAGTTTACACAAATCTGGATGAGCTTCTGATCTGTGTAAAATATCAAATGAAAACTTGGACAACCTAAGAGCCCTACATTGACTCACTTGAGTAAAACTCAGTTGATGTAACTAGAACACACCACTGAAGCCGAATGGTGCTTATTAGTCAAAATCTACACTACCTTCAGGGGATGCACATTACGATACTTATTGACAAGATCAAACTTGTCAATAAAATCCTAAAATGGTTTCACATCCAGGTTGTTAGTACCTGATCTTTCCCCTGTACACTCTATATCAGGATCAAGGACGTCGTTCTAATCCCCCAGCTAAAACTACCCAATGAGATTTTGTTAAAAAAGGGTCGATCCACCAAAACAAATCTGGCTGCTCAGCATGGTCACTGGGCACATAAACCCCAATGAGACAAAGAGACTTATCCTTTATGGTAACATCTAGTACACAAAGCTTGCCTGCCCAATCTGCGAAGACAAAAGCACAGGCTACATTCAAAGACTTGGTCACTAGTCAGTATACACCTCTCAAGCATCCATCAAAACATACTGAATAGGGAACAAACCTTTTAGATAGAATGTATTCACAGTCACGAGTTGAAAACCAGGTCTCCTGTACACAACATACATTCACCCTGAGACACTGAAGATTGTAAGCAAGCCTTACACTGTGGGATTTCAACTTCAGGCTCTGGGTATTTATACTAGCTAACCAGAGTGCCATGATCAGTCCAATTAGAATTGATCATCAGATTTGAACATGGACTGGATAAGGACACCGACAGCCTGTCCCATCTCATTCTTGATGGTACCATCAGGAGACAGACCATTAATATCCTAGAGGAAAGTGAGTTTTAAAGCTCTATACAGACAGGGGTGAATGAAAAGCAGGAGCCTCCCAGGACAATGTTGTTTTAAACTTTTAACATTTTTTTCATCGAAGAAAGCCAGAGGTGGATAAACATCAAAGGTGGCATTCTGTCATCACCCATATTTTGGAGGGCACCCTGGCCTGATCCTACTACCATCAGAATCCTCTTTGCTTTTTTTTTTTATTTTCTACATCCATATTCACTTCTTTGATGTTTAGGAGGAATTTAATGTTTTTATTTTTTGGGACTTCATTAAAGCTTTATCAGCCTGTTCTTTGGACACCCAGCACACATCTCCTATAAATGGATTTAGATTTGATTTTTTTTTTGATATGAGTTCTGTTGAATCTGACTGAGGGGCTTTGATGCCATTTTTTTGATATTTAGCTTTTTTCTTTGGTGAATTGATTGGGGTCTGTGCAGGGGATGGATTGGGAGTTATAGTTGGTGTGGATTTTTTGGATGGAGATTTGGGAATGGGTGACATTTTGAGGGTGGTCATTTTGGAAGGGGTGGGATTTAATGATTTTGTCATTGGAGGAGCCATGGGCTATTTTGGGGCTGATGAGGAAGACAGTACTAAGGAGGAAGAGCCAATTGTACAAATAGATGATGTTTGTTTTCTTTTCTCCTTTAGGGCTTCACTAAGTTTTTTGTGCTTCTTGAATTTTTTAAAGCTAAGCTTGTGTCTTACAATGAGTGGCATTTTCTGGCTTTCTTCATCCAGACGGTTGGGGACAGAGATAAAGGCTCTGTGACCTAACACAATCTTGAAGCTTCATTCCCCATTCTGGTCATTGGAAGTAGCACCAAGTATCTGTCCAAATTGAACCAGATAAACAGCCAAGTTCTCCCCTAAAACTAGAGAAGGGACCTCGATTACTGAAATGTTGGTCCTTCACCTGCCCTCATATTCAGTTCTTAATGAGTTCTTTCATTATCAGATCCCAACTCGATGCTTCCACACAGGTCTTTTGGGGAGCAACAAATTTTGTTCAAATGCTTGTCAACCACAAAGACTGACACAATTCTTTTTTCAATCTTCTGTAACACCTCAGTATCTACCAAGAGCCCATCTTCTTTGATAAGATGTACATAGCTCTTGACTCTTGAGGAACTTCATAATGTTGATGATGCACTTCGGTGAGGACTTCCAGCATGAGGGTGATCGCTACTACAGTGTTTATCCTTTTTGTTGTTATTTGTCGCAGTTGACAACCCTTTTACTTTGTTTTCAATTTAGTCATTCTTGGCCTCCATACTTTTTCTTGTATCTAACTGGTCTTCATCATTTTTTGTAATGGCTACTTTCTCAGTAGTCACTGTTGCCTGAGGTTTAGTCTTTTTATTGGAGGAAGTGGGGGTCTTTCTTTTTCAACCCGAACATTTCTTTTTTAATCAACCAATGTATGTCAGCCATTTTGGTAACTTTTTAAATTTTTTAAAAAGGAATTTAAGAAAAAAAAAAATTAAAAAACAAATAAACAAAAAGGTAATAATCTTAACCTTTATTTAGCTGGAGGCAAAATTGTCGCTGTAGAATTCTTTACCCTTTCCCGATCTAGTCGCATTCTGTCGACTTGAGGGGGTTGCTATAAATAAACTTGTCAACTGTTGTTTCTGGTATTTTAAGCTGGAAATAGCCTGCGACCACTTGGAATGAGGCTAAACTTTGTTTTCCAACACCATTTTGAATTCTTCTACATGTTACATGAGGTGTAACATCAGTTAAACCCATGTTAATTTTGTCATAATTTTAAACAAAAATGGCTACATCAACATCCAACAAAGCCTTTATTCGGGAGTATTTTTTTTTGATTTGGACTCTGATGACAATTTTGAACGTTTTACTCAGTGGATATTGACGGTGAAATGGTCGGAGATAAGAGATGATAACAATGCCAAGTGGCTACTATCATTCATACTTGACTAATTTTATGGAAGATACTGGTCCCATGGATGTACCTGACAGCCTTTCTGAAAGTGAATTATTTTGTCGATTTATAAACGATGAAATAATAACTTTATTTGTCAACGATACAAATAAATATGCTAATCAGGTGAAAGAAAGTGCAAACAAATGCTGGTGTCTGCTTGTATGTAAACACATTGAAGGAAGTCACTTTTGAAGAAATGAAAGCCTTCTTAGTCATTTTGCTATTTATTACACCCAGGACTCCACAAGGAGTAATAAAAATTAAATTATGCTAAATTGTTAATGTATTTTTTTATTTAGTGTTTTAGTGTCAAAGCATGCATACAAAACATAATGCATTACATAAAAATCTATGCACACAATAAAAAGAAAGTCATAACAATTTTAAAACAGTAGGGGCTTATGTGTTTTACACCCTAAAAAAAATTGCAGTGGCAGGGAGAACAATTCTAGAAAGAATTTGGTGAGGTAAACAAAAACATACACAAAATGAAGAACAAATTTAACAAAAACAAATGAAAATTAAAATAACATGACTGACACAAGCTAGCTTACCAAAAAGGTTTAACATGAAAACTAAAAAGTTAACTTAAAATATATACAAATTAAACAAAGTCTTCCTATAAAGAGAAGGGAAAAAATAACAAATTTAACAATGTAGAAACAAGAACAAAATGGACAAAAAAAAGGGTTTGATGTGTAAACTAAAAAAATAAGTTTACTCAAATGACACAAATAACAAACAACATAAAAGGGTTTTTTTCTTTTTTATAATTAGAAAACCAAAATAAAACAAATTATGAAAAAATACTACAAAAGGAAAAATAAAAAGTTGACATATATATAAAAAAAATGAAAATGAAAAATCTTGCTAATGAAACAATTGGCCATTGTGACACGAAAATAAAATAAAAAGAAACAGATTAAGCAATAAACAAATGGAAAAGCAAAATATTTATAATGAGTGGGAGTTAACAAAAAATGAATTGCGTAGCTAACAAAACAAAAAAGATTAAGTAAATCAAAAGGAAAGTTATACTTAAAAAATAGTTTGGCAGTTGAATAAAGGATTGCAAACAAAACAAAGTGGATGAAGCAACATGTAAAAGATTAAACCAAAAAAATTAAACAAAAATTAAAATGCAAGGGAAATCTTTAGTGGTTAAAGAAAAACATAATTAGAAAAAGTGACAAAAAAGATTAAACAAAAGGATTAAGCAAAAAATTTTAAAATTATACTACAAAAATAATGAATTTAATAATAAATAAAGGAAATAAAATTGAAAAAGAAAATTAAAAAAACTCTCACAAAATAGTAAAAAAACAAAAACATAAGAAAAATTAAGGCAAACTTAACTGAAAAATTAAAGCAAACTTAACAATTCTTTGTGGACAGAAAATAAAAAAGTGGATTCTCAGTAGCACAAAAAAAAATGTCTGGCACATGGGAAGATTACAACTGGTGTGTGAAAATGAAACAATCCTATTATGAAAGTACCATAGTGGAAAGTTCATCAAAACAATTATCATAAAAGTATTTATAGAAAAGGCACAAGTAAACTACATTACAGCAGTTGGAAAGTGAAGCCAAGATAAAATTACAACTGAACTTACTAAGCAGAGCAAAATGTATATTAAATTATAATAGATATAATGTCCTATTTGATAGGAATTTAAAATTTAGTTTTAGCCACATTCTCTGAGACTTTTAATGAATTTGTAAAATTGAAGCAATAACATGAAAATTGCTGTTGAGTTAATTGGCCATGATTAAATATAACTGGCAGAAATGACTGTCACCCCCAAACCCCTCCTTGGTCGTCCAAGATGTCCAACACCCGCAGCTGATCAAATAGGTGATTGCTTTGATCCAGGTCTTGCCCCATCCCACCTTGTGATTTGCTTTGATCATAAGGCAGGCCAAGATCAAATCGCTGTCAGCCTGTATTTTTAGCTGTAGGTCATCCATCAAGTGTCAAAATATTTGCCATATGACCTGTTGTAGTTGAATGTTGTTTTCTTTGCTAACCGTCTGGTTCTTGGCCTTTTAAAAAATAAAATTTTCAATCTTTCCCATGATGGTCTTTGCTATATTGTTCCTTCTATCCAAAAAGCCTTATTATTTACCAGGAATCTGTCAGTATATCATACCTTCTATCCAAAAACCCTTCTTGTTATTTACCAGTAACAGTGTCACATCCAAACAGAATTGTTAAAGTTTTTAATAAACAATAACAAGAGAAAGGAAAGAACAGGGCCAAAAATATTAAGCAAGCAAACAATATATGCAAAGCAAAGCAACAGTAATAAAGCAAAAAGTTCACAAGCTAAGGTTAGGTTTGGTTTATTTTGTTTTACGGCATATCAACTTCAATGGGTTATTTAATGCCGACAACATTTTTTATTGATGGTAATGTTTTGTTTTGTTAAAAATCTGTTTCTGGTAATATTTTTCCTTCAAAATTTTATTGCTGGTAATAGTTAACTATTTGCCCATAGCTGGGACCCTAACAAGTGCTACCACCCTGGGTTAGGGTGGACCTGGGAACACCAGCAATTAAGAGGTGGTTCCACGCTCTTCAAAACCTCCTGATCAGAGGCCTTGCTGCTGGATGTAGTTTATCGTCTTACCCAGGACACTCTCAAGCTAATGATTGGTGTTGACACACAAAATGGGATATGAACAAGTAAGTGATCCTAGCATTCCGGCTTCAAGACAAGACCAGAACTGAGTCAAATGAGACTGGGAAATGAACTTATTGTTTATGAAAAAATCCTAGCATGTGTGGGTTTGTCTATAAATTTGGGTGGGGGAAGTATTTTGCAGTCATTCCAATGCTGTATATTTTTGTAAAAAAAAAAAAAGCAAAAAAAAAGACAGTTTGTATATTATCAAATATTTATGTCATGGGGATTTTAGGATCCCAACAAATATGCAGTATTGTAGTATATGTTGGATTAAATGGTGATGAGTGAGTTCTTGTGGTGATAGAGTAAATTGTAATGATTGAATGGGTTGCAAATAAGATTAGCTAGGTTTAGGATAGTCAGTGTTGACAAGCCTCACCCCCACCTCTCCTTTAACCTTGTGCCAAAATTGCAATTATATTGCAATAAATAATCATTTCAAGTTTAGCATTGAAACAAGAACTGCCATGTGAACATATTCTTAATGTATTGATTTATGTTGCTTTAAAATTTTGTTTATTTTCTTTGACAGAACCTTGGTAGTCAACTGGAATATATAATGGCTAAAGAACATACAGACAGACTGGCTGTTATTGATGAAATCAAAGATGAAGTTCGTAAAAGAGAATTACGGGCAGAAGATGAAAATGAAAACTTTTTAGATGAAGGTATTTATATGATTAAATCTTTTCATTGGTACATCTTGATATCCTTACTGTACTGTAGTGTTACTGACTCATGGGAAGTAGTATACACTCAACTGCCTCATGAGTAATAGCTGTAGCTACTTATAGTCACCTCACTTACATATACAACTTCCACTATATACTAATTTCAGAGTTTTCCACTGTAAATTTATGTTTAGGAACATACAACATCTCCTTTCTTAACAAAATTACTACTATTACCATGTGGGTTAGTTAAAGACAATAGCAATAAAAACAAAAGTAATAAAAAACCAAATAAGCTTTGCATACAATCTAGATACATCATATGCCAAAAATTTTAAATTTAAGTGTACTTATATCTTCCGTGTTTTCTCATTGTAGAATTACTTACTAAATTTTCCCCTCCCCCATATATATATATATCAGTCATGGCAAGAGGGGGGCAGTGCTGGGCCTCAAAACCTGAGGAGCCTCAAGAAAATACCTTTAGGGGTTTAGTGGTGTGGGGGCTTTTTTACAAAAAGTAGAAAGCAAAACTATGAATCAGTATATTATTGAAAAAATATGAAAACTAAAACCAGTTCCAAAACAGCTTAAAAGTGCATTTTTCAAACTTTCATTGAAGCAGAATGAATGATGAGTTCCTCAAAGTCTAATTCTCATGCCAAATCACACTCGATCGCAAGGGTTGCCAAATTGGTAAAGTGGTCTTGAAGCATTGTTGTGTGTTAATAGTTCTTTGTTTTAAGTTCATATTTGTCACAAAAAATACAAATAAAGACCTTAATAGAAAAATGATATTTAACATATCGCAACTCTACCAGACAGACATGTTTACAGTCTTGTAAGATTGAGTTTAAATAAGTCAGAAAAGGAGATCCTGGGACAAACAAACTGCCACAATATAATCTGAGTGCCAGACCTCAGAAATTCTCTCCCCAGTACTTATATTTGTTGCTTATAAACAGTAATTTGGACTTTGCTTCTTTGTAGCTGAATGATTAACAGCACATCAGATCAAACGACAATTCTCATTGGGGTTACAGGTTCGATTCCTGTCAGAGAAGCACATATTTTCTACAAAATGTAATTAATACTGTTTGCTTAAAAAATAAAAAAAAACAGCATTTACTTAAATAAATTGTATCTATTAAAATAACGTATAAACATAAACAGGTGGTGTAATGTTTAGCAAGTGTGTCTCGCTAGAACAATTATGACTGAGTAGTGAGTTCGATCCTCACTGGGTGCCCCATACTTTCGGCCTTGTGCTGCATCTAAGCTACGCTTGTAAAATCACTATATATATATATATATATATATGATTCTGTCAATAAAAACATTATTAGTATGAAGAAGTCTTTTCTCTTGATGAAATGCACAACAAGATTTTTTTCCATTTCATTATTCAATTACTCACTATTAACTGTGCCAAATATACAGAAACTACATCACTTGAGGACTTTCAACAGAAGCAACAACTAAAATGGAAAGCATATATAACTTGAAGAGAATGACATAATCAATATGCTGTTCCACACTACTTTGAATGAAAGGTTAGTAAGTAATTAATACTGGAAAGAGTGATAAAAGTTACTGGACTTGAGAAACCTATTTTCCTGAAAAATTGCTTTAATAGAAAGATTTTATAAATTTCAACCAAAAGTACCATTGACGGTTCAGTCAATCAATGGTGAATATTTTGCTATAAGGAAACTGCTAATATTACCATTTCTATATTGTATCTTCCAAATATAAATATGTAAATGGTTCTATATTTTCCATTTTTTTTCCCTCCTGTCTTTATCATAATAAATTTGTCTTCAGCTCTGATTTTGATACAAACATTTTCCTGAAATCAATTTTTGTCTATATATATATCCACGCACTGACTGCCAAGAAAAGAGTTCATCAGACGGCTAAAAAAAAAAAAAGATTAAAAAATCATTAGCACCAACCAGTTTTCATTTTTGCTTCTGCATTCTGTTTGCAGATTATCATATTTGTCTAACTCATAATCACAAAGCAAGTTTTTTTTTTTTTTTTTTGAACAAACAAATGATATTGACTTTTTTTTTTGGAATTGAGCTATCAAATATCAATGTCCTTTTTTGGAATTGAGCTATCAAATATCAATGTCCTTTTTTGGAATTGAGCTATCAAATATCAATGTCCTTTTTTGGAATTGAGCTATCAAATATCAATGTCCTTTTTTGGAATTGAGCAACCAAATGACAATGACCTTTTCTGGGATTGAACAAACAAATGACATTGATCTTTTTGGGAATTGAGCTATCAAATATCAATGTCCTTTTTTGAAATTGAGCTATCAAATATCAATGTCCTTTTTTGGAATTGAGTAACCAAATGACAATGACCTTTTCTGGAATTGAACAACCCAACATCAATGTCCAGTTACTGAACAATCAATATTCCTTGCCTACCATAATTTTTATGTCCTTATGATAATCCTTACTATCAATGTATTACAAGTCATGGGCTTTGGAACCAATTCTGTGGGATTGTAATTCCAGACCCCATGCCGCATAAATCACTAACAAATCTAACTTAAACGAAAACTTTTTAGGTCATGCTCCATCTTCACCTATAAGACCCGCAACAAACTATTAGCTTTGCAAGCCTTTTGAGTTTTTCATCTTTAATGACACATTCAGCAAGCCAAGCCAATTATTTTGACTTAAAATCAAGAGTTTTATAAAAATGGGATGTTTTCTTTAGTAACACATTGTGAAAAGGTTATAGAATTAAATGAAGTATATTTTAAATAGAACATATAACAGGAAATATTTGAAAATGTAATATTTTATTTTCCTATTTATAATCAACCATTTCATTTGAGACATCTTCATATGTTATTATTAATTTATTACTAGTTTTACTCTATATTATTATTGTTTTTCATCAGTACTCCAGGTTAATGGAAAACAGATTGTGAAGTGTGAGATGTGAGTTCAAATCTCATCAGAGACTATTTCTCTCTGATTTTTCAACTTACTTTAATAGTACCAGACATATATTAACCTAGTAAGTTAAAAAAAGTGACGATAATTAGATGGATTAAAACCAGATTAACTTAAAAATAGCAAAAATGCTTTACTTAAAAATAAAAAAAAATAAAAATAATATATGCTTATAAACATCTTGTGGCAGAAACTAATAACAGTACCTATCCCTGTTGGTCAAAGAGACAATACTTAGTGTGTTGTCTCTGTCAAAAAAAGTAAATGGCTGCCCTGCCGGAACATAGCCAGTGCGAACCCCTGGGATATCTGGTTATGAAGAAAGTGTAGAAAGAAAATAGTCAGGATGATGAGCTGAGCGGTGTTGGCTATGCAAATAGTTCCTCCATAAAAGCAGGCACATTTTCTAGAAAGCAGTTTGCCATGTTGATCCTATAACAGGATTGGCGTGTGTTACCAAGGATTTTTGTTCATGTTACCTAACATCATTTCAGATTTGTTCATCTTTGTATTTCTGGTGTCTTGTCTGCGTTCATCCTGTATGTATGGGGCTCCTGTGTGGAATTCTTGTTTGTGTCCTGCTTGTCGTGGTCCAGTGTTTCATTCTGGTGCTGCTGATTTTTCTGTTCCTCTTCAATGGCAGACACCCAACCAATAAGAAGAAAATCCTTTTATTTTGGTCTTGGCTTTATAAAGATCTGTAAAGGCATTTCAGTTTTGGTGCAGACCTGCAAGGTTAATAAAAGACAAGCATGTTCTGCCGTAGTGGCTGAAGAAGTTAGTTTGAAAGGTATGATGAGAATTGATTTTTACTGAAACGGAGATTTTGTATCTGATAATGGGTTCTATGTTGTTTTTTTTTTTTTCTTGAAAAGGGAGATAATCTAGAACATTGTTTACCATGCTTGGATATGAGTTTCTGATATTAAGTTCAATGTGCATTTAGACTACTGGTCTAAAAGGTTTCATCTTAGATAAGGTCACAATTGGTTGGTAGAGGAAGATTTGAAGAGAAGAGTTGATCTGTTAATCTGAAATCATGGTAGAAGTTGTCCCAAATGTTACCTACCTACCCACCCACCCAGTTGGAACAAGTGAAATTTTTTGGTATCTGATGTGTCTATGCACAAACACTCAGCCAATTTCATTAAGTTTCCCAATACTTTTGTTTTTGTTTTTATCACTATTTTTTTTAAATATTTCATGCTATGACAACAGAAGATTTGAAAAGTGAAATGTTGTATGAACCAAACTCAGAAGTCAGTGCACTTTCTATACATTTTCACCTTAGTAAATTGTTTTTTTTAATTGATTTTTAATTTTGGATGCCAGAAAATTTTTAAACTTAACATCCCTACATCTTCAGTATTTCTTCTTGTTGTGTATTTATAACATTTTTGTATATATTTTCCCGCCTCCTACTAAATTATATAAAATTCTATCAATAAGAACATTAGTCTGAAGTCCTTTTAAAGGACGAAATGAGTTACCCATTTTTTTTTTTCATTTTGTCATTCTATTACTTAAGCATAGTTGTGCATTTTAATTACCAACAACTATACTGCCTAGAGAAAGTACTTCCTACCAGTACAGAAATGCTCATGTATATGCCTCATAAGTATTAAATTCTGTTACATTTTTATTTCTTTTACTTTCTGTTCTTTTTTTATAGCAACTGTGAATTTTAGTGGTTCTGATTGTCCTTATGCCCTAAAGATGATTGCGTGTTTGGTGTTGTTGGAAATCACAACATTTATGAGGGAAACGTACCAGTACTTGCCGAAATCTCGCACGGGCAAGAGAGATGCTGTGTGGGAACGATCTGCTAGTACCAGTCGTCGATGGAGCAGTGGTGTGGGCAGCCCAGGACATTCAGAAAAAAGCATAGAATCCAATACTGGCGATTTGCCACAAACTATGCAATCTGCTTCAACAAGTAAGTTTTATTCCTCTTCTCACTTTTCTCAGTGAAATATACGTCTGTTTCATCTGCTCTCTAGTCAAACATGAAATTTCATTTAATTTTTAAAAAATTGTTGTGGCCTGTTAGGGGCCAGAAAGAAAGACACAGAAAGAAGAAAATAGGTTGAACAAGTGTATTAAAATAACAGAACATATATACAACATAAGAGTGTTATCAGTCAGCAGATAGAAGTGTCCGTCCAAACTATCAGGTTACACTGCGTCCCGACTGCCTCCTTAGGAAGTCTTGCAGGTTAGTATTTATGAAGAAGGAAGAGTTCATTCTAATGTAGATAGGTCACCATAACAAAAATAAAACCCACTTAATTGATTTAGGATTAGGATATTTTTTTAAATGTTGCATCTGATTAAAGTTATAATAGTAACACTTTAACTGCTGCATTGTTATCACATTGTTGCCTGACTGTGCTGGCCCATTTGGAGATTAAGAAATTGACATTTACTGAAAATAAACAATAAAGATGCTGGTTGCCATTTTGGTTTTGAAAGAATAATCTGCAGGCAGATTAAGCTAAATGACATTCTCAATGTAAAGTAATAAAAATACATAATAAAACAGGTTTTATTGTACACTACTGTATAACATTGTTGCCTGGCAGTGCTGTCCTCTTTTGGAGATAATTAGGAAATTGGCATTTACTGAAAATAAATGATAAAGACGCTGATACCAATTTTTCATGGGCTTTGTCATTTTGGTTTGAATAGGATAATCTGCAGTACAGACTAATCACTGGTTTGAAAAATGGCATTAAATGATAATTTATAACACAAATGCTAAGGACCGACATTTCACAGTGTTTTAAAAATGTGTATATATGTTGATGTCAGGCAATGTAAGTTTCTTAAAGACCTATAAGTCCATCCACAGCTGTGAAAGTGTTCTTTTTCTTCTATGTATGATGTCCCTTGAGGACATTGGCAATCATGGCTCTCCACAATTTCCTTTCCTTTGTAGCTCTTAAACATTTTTCTTTTTGTTATCACTCCTAAACCTTGTTCCACCATCCATTTATTTGAGCTCACTAGGTAGGTTATACATTATTTTCCTCTGTCCATCTTGCCTTCTTGTGAGTGTCAAATTTTGCAAGCTCTCTTTCCTCATTATGAGCTCTAGAAATTTTAACTGTCTCTTCATGATGTGAAGTATAAAGTGTCTGTTTTGTTTCCATTTTCTTTAAAACTTTGTTGTTGCTCACATGTTCGGTCCATGATTTTCACAGCATCCTTCTGTAGAATTATATTTCTGTTGCTTTAAATCTCTTCTTCATCTATGAGGAGATTGTCCAGCATTCACTGCCATATAGAAGAACTGATATTACACAAATTCAGTACTCTTTTCTTTACTTTCTCACAATATTTTTCTGTTTTTTAATACAGTGTGTTTACAAAAAGTTGATATCATTTAGGAGTAACTACATAGTCTAGGCCAGTGGTTCCCAAATGGTGCGGCACACCTCATAGGCATGGCAGAAGAAGATAGCAGGTGAGGCCGAATTATTGAAAGACAATCAAAGATTTAGAAACAGTTTAAAAAAATTCATATACCAAAAAAAAATTTGATTTCAAAATTTAAAATATTATTATGGATTACTTGTAATTGCATGCACGAGTCCCAGTATAAATATTTATAAATAATTATTGACCAATTTTATCATTGTGATATTTTTGCATTATATCAAGCATTAAGAATATAGTAATAAAGTTCTGCAAATTGGGGGAGAGAGTTATCAATGATAATGTTCTGGCTTTGAATCAGCAGTTATCTCCCTTTTAACCCTCTCTGTTTTTTTTATTTTTAGATGTACTTTTTATCACATAAAATTTGGTAAAGTGCAAGCAAATTTTCATTTCGAAAATGTGGGCCACAGTAAAAAAAAAAGTTTTGGAATCACTGTTCTAGGAATATGAATTTAAACAGGTTTATTGTTGATCAAAATAAGATTTATTAATTAAAATTTGTATGAGAAATTCAAAGGTATGTGGATTTCATGAATGATTTCACAAGTTTTCAATATGCACATCAAGTTAGTAGTCCAGCTTCTTGGAATTTTCTTTGTCTTAAATGTGATTTTTATGCTTGTTGACTTTGCTATTCGTATGAAATGTGATCTCATCACTTAAAACAAGATGTTCTTCAAGCTTCTCTTGCATATTGACACAGAATTGCTTGTGCTTTTGATTGACATTTATCTTTAAGGCTTGAATGAGCTTCAGCTTGCAGGGTTTCATTCACAACTGTTTCCTTGTGACATGCCAAATTGTCGTTGAAGGAGTCTGAATTTCCAGACTTGCTCTTCTTATGGACTTCTGTGGCATCACAAAATTGTTTCCCAAACCCGCTTGACAATCTCTTCAGATACTTCTTCCTTTTTCCCCTGCACAGACTTCATCTTTGAGCTTTTTTGTTTCATGTCCAAATCTGTATTGCAGTTGGTGCATTTTAAGGGAATTCACTCACAAATGCATGCACAACAGCCTTATTTGACTCTGAGCATGCTCTAATATACAAACCCCTTTTCTTTTCCACTGAATGGCATTTCTATAACTGAAAAGAAAAAAATATAAAACATTAAACAGAATTTTGAGTTGTTTCTACACACTGTGTTAAAATTTTAGCTCATTTGAACGAGAATTGATCAAGTTATTAAATTACAAAATGATATCAATTTTTCTGAAACACCCTGTATTTTGCTTAGCTTTTGGAAGGTATTTTTCATAACATAACCACAATTATATTATTGTGTAATGAAAAATATTTAACTGGCAGAAATTTAAAAATTCTTTATCAAAACTGACAGTATTAATTTTTTTTCATTGACTTCTAAACATGTTCCCATGAAATGATTTTACTGATATATCATTGTTTCTTTCAGCTGTTGGTAGTCCAACAGAAAGAAAAATAAGTTTTGCAGTCCAGGCCGAGCGATCAGATTCAATCCACAGTAGTAATACATCACTTTCTGTGATTGAGGGAACAGAAGAAAAGAAAGGTAAAACATATCTAACTTCTATATTATCCTTATTAAAAGGTTTGTCTTCCAAAAATTCAATTTGTATATTTTTAGTAATCCATTTGTTTTTTATAAACAGTTGACTACAAGTTGAGTAATAATCTTGAATAAAATCACCTGATGTGAAATGAATGCTTTTATAGCTTGTCATGTTGTCACAGTCACTTTCCATGCCCTTGACATGGTTGAATCAAATTTACAGTTTCCTTTTTTTTTATTATTTTGAAAAGATAATTAACCAGTTACTATCATCAGAACTGTTGTTTTTTTTTTTGCATGTGTTTTTTATAACTCATAACCAAGATATTGTCCTTTCAAAGCCATTCATTCACTTCTTAAAATAACTTTAGATAGCTGGTTGCATGACCACAAATATTTTGAAAAAATTGATTCTTCAAAATTATATTTCTTTTAACTTCATAAAAAGTGTTTGCAATTGGGAAAAATTCATTCTATTAAGAAGTAACTTAGATGAACGATGAATATCGCTCAAGCAGTGCATGTGGTTTATTTTCTCTACAAATATCACTTGGACAACTATATTGACAATTATTGCATGACATCTTGACAGATTCATTTTCAAATATGTTGGCAAAAATGTAGGCCCATCAACTGCAATATCTAAAATTATTCTCTATTAATTCTCTTTATTGGTATTGTTCAAGGAGGATCTGCATGTGGTGTAATGGATAGTGGCTTGGAATGAGAAATTGAAGAGCTGAGTTCAAATTCCAGTTGTGTTCATTACATTCACTTATGTGCAAATATGATTAGGAAAGGTATCTCCTCCTCCAAGATATAGGTTAAATAGTAGGACTTGTATCTGGAAAAACTATTTTTATTCTTAAAAAATTGTTAATGCAATATTAACTCACAAAAAAGAATTATTCTTACACTCCAAAATATGTTTGGCTTTAAATAATCCACAGAAGGTTGATAAGCCATAAAAAGTATCAAATTGTTCAAGGAATTCAACGAAAACTATTTTTTACAAATTTTCATTTGCAAAAGGAAATTATTGCTGATTTAACATTCAGCATTCTTAAGAACTTATTTAATTAAATCTACAAAGTTACATACATACATACGCACACACACACACACACACACATATATATATATAAGATTTTAATTATCCATTTCGAATGGATAAACAAAGTCTCCATCTTATTATCATTATAATGCTCTGTAGTCTACATTAAGCTCTCCCTGGATTTATATCCTCCACAGAATTATCTCTTTCAGTCATAAACTGATAAGGTGTTTGTGTGTGTGTGTGTATATATATATATATATATATATATATATAGAGAGAGATCTTTTTCTATTGGGGATCATATATTGAAGTGTGAATTATTAAAAAAAAAAAAAGAAAATTAAAAAAACACATACAAAAATCCAGCTTCACTGTTTAAATGATGTCATTTGTTCCAGCTAACCTGGAATCATAGAAATTAACCAGAAACAGTTACATAAACATACACAAAACTCAATCCTTGGAAACGAATGTAGGAACTTTGGAAAGTACTCAGTGGGTTGGGGGATATAAATAAATATGAACTTTTGTAAATTTACCAATTGTATAAAACGACTTATTTGGAAATTTGAAAAAGTTAAAATATTCGATAGACAGAACTTGTTAATGTTATTCAGCCAAACATGTTTGTAAGATTATAGAAAAAATCTATAAAATTTAAAGTTCTGAAATTTCTTTTTCCTATTTTTCCTGCTTAAGGAGTTATGAGTATATAAAATTCATTATTTCTTTTAAGTAATTGAATCATTTTAAGCTAAAAAAAATTCTTAACTTCTTGAAGACTTAAATTTAATTAGAAAATAAGATTAAATATTCTAAGAAACAAAAATAGAAATTAGAATTTCATTTTTTAAAGTTATTTTGACTTGATAGTGATAAAAAAAGTTTTGATGATATCACATGGTCAATTGTACGTCTCTTTATGATATCACATGGTCAATTGATATCACATAGTCTCTTCTGTGCTAAAATGATGGTAAAAGGAAATACAGACATGGTGATCTAAAAATAAATATTTTTTTCTTTTAATCATTTTGGAAATATTAAATACCAGTTTTTATGAGTGAGTGTTAAATTATTTTGCCTATTCAAGAACATTCTTTTATTAGTACACTCCATTTTACTAACAACTTATAATAATAATAATAAGACAAAAATTGTTCTCTTTTTTGCATTGCCCACCATCATCAGTTGTGGTTTTTTTTTTACTATAAAAAAATTGTATTGACCTGTATTCTTATTCTAACCAGGAAATATATAGTACTTGAGAAAGCAGTATTCACGGTCAGTTTATTGGTAAAGTATGTTGATATACATATCTTATTAAAATAGAAGTTAAGCAGCCTTTCTGTGCATGTTTTTTTCTCATCAAAATTATTTGTCAACGCACTTACTTTCTTATTTCAAATTCTCTTTACACCTTTCCTCCAAAAGCAACCTTTTTATTGTTTGATGGTACATATCTTCATCACTATCCCAAAGTAGTACATTTATTTTATTTTATTGAGTTTTTATAAGCAGCAGTTTTGCTTTATGCCTGTTATAGGCTTTTCTTAGCTTCAAAAGCACATAGCACAGTTTGTGTCAGCTGTTTATAATTTTGAAACATTCAACTAGAATTGTTACTTTTTACATTTTACTTTATAAGTAGCATCTCTATTTGAAAATATAAAATACTAAAGCTGAAAATATATTTGATTACAAATGTGTAGTTGGTTTGGTTACTATTTCAATGTTTCTTCAAACAGTTGTTCTGGAAACTATTTGGATTATTGGATCTTTCTTTCATGAAGAATTTGAGAACAAACAAATTTTAGAAGTATTTGTCAGTTGTTTATGGAATAGATATGTAATTCTATCTCTAATAACCAATATAAATTAAAAGCATATACAATTAAAAAAAAGAAACCATTCTTAAAAAGAATTTAGTAATGTAAAAAGTAAATAATATAGTAATATAAAAAATTATAGTAATGTAAAAAGTTTGAAATTCCAATCACCTGAAGATGGCTGGTACATACACCAGCCAAAATGTCATGAATATCGCAGTAAAGATGAGTACAACAGTTTGAACAATGTAAATAATGTAAATATGTAAAAAGTAAGTAAACAAAGTCATATTTTACTTATTTTTAAACTTTAGTTTAAAATTATAAAATTAGTTTTTGACTAAAATAATAAAACTATTTATCTCTCTTGGAAAGAACCATTATCATCAGTCTTGTAATTGGGTGTGGTCATAAAGTTGCTGTACAGCTGAGCTCTTGACCAGCAACCTCCATATACCTCAGTTGCATACCAATACCCAAAACCCTGTGAAGGATCTTCCAGTTCACTTAGTGATGACATCAATCCATTGTTTTCCTCTGTCTGCCACTTCTTCTTTTACCTAATCTAGTGCCTTTTAGGAAGGAAGTGGAAACATTGTTGGCTTTTATGACAAGTCCATACCATTTTCAACTTCTTGACCATGGTTATAAGGTCTTCCAAACAGACATGCTTCTAGTCTGATGGTATCATGCACTTGTTATACAGTCTAGCTAGGAGATTCTTAAGATGGTTCTGTAGGATCTCATTTTTAGTTCTTGAATTCTATGCTGTAGTTCTCCTGTTAATGTCCAAGATTTGCAGGCATAGAGAAAGACTGACAAGGCCAATGCATGCAACAGTCTGATCTTTGATTCCATCCAGAGGTTCTTGTTTTTCCAGATGGTTCTCTGGAGCCCTCTTCACCAATAATCTTAATAATTCATAATTTGAATTGGCTCTCTATTTTAAGTTCCTCACCACCAAATTTTGTCTTGGTTGAAATTCTTTCTGATTATTCATCATGAGGTTTAATTATTTTTTTTTTTTTTATTAATATCTTGGAAGATGTTCCATCCAGGTTTTTCTCCAGACTGACGAGTTCTACCAAAAGTTCTTCTTTTAATAACTTAAATAAAGAAAAATCCCCCTCCAGTTCCTTGGAAAGAAAATATGATTAAAAATGTTTATAAATTAAATTCGTTGTACTTAATTAATATGAATCATTCACATTTATAATAACAGTCTGAGCAATCATTACTTTGGACTTTTATTTCTTATTCTTGTTTTGGATCTCTGGTATATTGGCTCAAGCAAGTACTGTGGATATGAATTCAAATTACTGCTTCTTGTAATAAAAGTGATGTTTCTCTTTGTCAAAATTTATATGCTTCACAATTTATTCAGAATTGTTATCCATATTTGTTCATATTTTAAGTTCAAATAAATTATTGTACAGAAGGGAAATTTTCCTATCTCCGTTTCTGTTTATTTCAATATTTCATAAAATAAATCAATCACCTCAATGTCTTTCCACTTTTATTTGAGATATCAACAAATTAATTTTTAGGCTGTAACACAATCTTTGAACCAATATAAAGTGCACCTAATGTTTGAAAAGAAAATTGTGATATTGAACACTAAGTTTAAAAACTATCATTTTCGGCTGGTCTATTTGTTTGCTTATTTTTTTTAAGATAAGCATTCAATTAACTATACATTAATCTATTTATTTTTTAAGATAAGCATTCAATTAAGTATACATCAATCTATTGAACAACAGGTCATCAACTTGGTTGTTGTAGTGTTAATTTTATTTTTGAAATACTAGGTTGGCCAGAAAGTTCTGACTCACTTAGGAAGCAGAAAGACGACAACAAATCTTGATCTCTGTCTGGTGAAATTTCCAAAGAGTATTGCATTTTGAGCTTGTTCCACACAGCTGCACCATCAATGCTAAACTGTATTGCCAGTAGCTAGACTGTATATGAAAAACTAAAGAAGGAATATCCTGCTTTGGTCAATCGAGGTCAAGACAATGTGAGGCCTCACACTGCCAGGTTGACTAAGGAGAAGTTCAAACAGATGGATGGTGTTGAGATTCTTCCACATCCACCATTCAGTCCTGATGCTGCTC